ACAACACACGCAGGGACCATGGGGAACAAAAGTAGCCACCCTCCAGAAGGAAGGACAGTGTCAGCACCAATTCAGAGAAGATTTGAGGATCTACAGCCGAGTTATACACAAATAAGATACAATCTTGTTAAGGTAATTTAATGTATGTTTAAGATTTTGTGTCACTTTAATAATGTGATATTCTTAATAAATAAGTTCAATCATTTTAATTTAGTTCACACTTCCATTAATATATATATAATGTGTATATTAGATTTTAAACAGGATAGCTGAATGTGATGTAGTACATTCCTAAAAATAAATGAAACAGCAAATCTCTTCCTATCCTTGTTCAGACATGTTACTTATATACACATATTCTGGGATGAATTCAAGTATTCCTAGAATGCAAGTTATGTGGTCGGAGTTTCTGAGAGTAAATCTCATTGTCTAAGGATAAATGTGTGAAGGTGGATATAATTAAGAACTGTTCCATGCCCTCATATCAGGACCGGGAAAATCATAACTTTTACGTGGTAATAAAATATAATAGAACAGATGATGGCAATCAGAATGCACAGTGTGGTGTAATGTGTATGACTGCAGATACTAATTGGGAATGCTGTAGCTAGTCACTCACAGTAATAAGCTTATCTGGGCAGCCCTGTTATGCATTTTCAAGAGTGCCATCCTGTTAGTAATTAAGGGCACAATACACCTTCAATTCTCACAAAATTGCTTTACTGCAAGACAGAAGTATTTTTGAGGACGGATGGGGGTGTGATTACAATCCTCTGGTGTTTCCATTGAAGGGTACTGTTAATGCTATAGCATACAAAGACATATGGACAACTGTGCTCTACCACACTTAGGGTTAGGCAACAATTTGGAGAAGACATTTTTATGTTCCAGCATGGCTGTGCCCCATGTACAAAGGTCTATAAAGACACGGTTTCATTTGGTCAGTGTGGAGGACTTGCATGGCCTACAAAGAACCATGACCTCAGGGGTGAATTGGTTCGTTGACATCAATCATCAATCCGAGTGCCCATTTGCATTAGTTGTCCCCATCAGAGTGTCCTTACATAAGTTGCCCCCACCAGAGTGGCCCCTTATATAGAGTAAGTTGTTCCCATCAGAGTGGCCCCTTACATTAGTTACTAATGTAGGAGGACATTCTGAGGACAGCTAATCTAAGAGGACACTCTGAGGGGGACAACTAATGTTAGAGGGTGCTCTGAGGGGGACAACTAATGTAAGAGGGTGCTCTGAGGGGGACAACTAATGTAAGAGGGTGCTCTGAGGGGGACAACTAATGTAAGAGGGTGCCCTAAGAGACAACTAATGTAAGAAGGTGCTCTGAGGGACAACTAATCTAAGAGGACAGTCTGAGGGGGACAACTTATGTAAGAGGGTGCTTTGAGGGGGGCAACTAATGTAAGAAGGTGCTCTGAGGGGGACAACTAATGTAAGAGGGTGCTCTGAGGGACAACTAATGTAAGAGGGTGCTCTGATGGGGACAACTAATGCAAGAGGGTGTTCTGAGGGAGACAACTAATGTAAGAGGGTGCTCTGAGGGGGACAACTAATGTAAGTGGGTGCTCTGAGGGTGACAACTAATGTAAGAAGGTGCTCTGAGGGGGACAACTAATGTAAGTGGGTGCTCTGAGGGGGACAACTAATGTAAGAAGGTGCTCTGATGGGGACAACTAATGTAAGAGGGTGCCCTAATGGATAACTGATGTAAGAGGGTGCTCTAAGGGACAACTAATGTAAGAGGGTCCTCTGAGGCGGACAACTAATGTAAGGGGGTGCTCTGAGGGGGACAACTAATGTAAGAGGTGCTCTGATGGGGACAACTAATGTAAGAGGGTGCTCTGAGGGACAACTAATGTAAGAGGGTGCTCTGAGGGGGACAACTAATGTTAGAGGGTGCTCTGAGGGGGACAACTAATGTAAGAGGGTGCTTTGAGGGGGACAACTAATGTAAGAGGGTGCTCTGAGGGGGGCAACTAATGTAAGAAGGTGCTCTGAGGGACAACTAATGTAAGAGGGTGCTCTGATGGGGATAACTAATGTAAGAGGGTGCCCTAAGAGACAACTAATGAACTAATGTAAGAGGGTGCTCTGAGGGGGACAACTAATGTAAGAGGGTGCTCTGAGGGGGACAACTAATGTAAGAGGGTGCTCTGAGGGGGACAACTAATGTAAGAGGGTGCTCTGAGGGGGACAACTAATGTAAGAGGGTGCTCTGAGGGGGACAACTAATGTAAGAGGGTGCTCTGAGGGGGACAACTAATGTAAGAGGGTGCTCTGAGGGGGACAACTAATGTAAGAGGGTGCTCTGAGGGGGACAACTCTGGGCACTCTGATGGAGTCAAATTTGAATTTTGATTCAATACCCCTGATATACAGGAATATAGAAACTGACATAGAAGCCACCGGTGCACAATGCATTTTAATATTGCAGAGAGAAAAAGGAGATAAAGATATCCTTTCAAATAATTTAATGTACAATGAACAGAGTAGAATTTTTCAAGCTGTTGCTTCCATTGCTTCTATTTCTATTCCATTGCTTTCATTCCTGTAGTTTAGGCCAAAACGGGTTACAATGTTAGAATTATTCACATTATGTTTTATGGTGGAAGCAATGAGTACATTCTATGCCAAGCTGTTGGCTTCTGTACATACCACCCACACAACAAACCTGGCATGAGACTGTCATGAAATGCTGGACGTGTTTCTCAGACTTTGAATAGTTTTGTCACATAGAACCAGGTTGGGTCTACAAGAATACAGATGAGAGTATTCACAGGGGAAACCTTCATCCAGATCTGAGTAAGGGCTTGTTGCACCATTTTTTGCAATCGTACTGCACTGGAACACAGGGCATTTTATTACCATGCGTTCCTGTGCGGCTGATCCTACTGCGGGCATTGACTTGTATGGCACTGTCACGCCCCCTCCCGTCCCAGAATGCAAGGAGACTTTATGTATGTGATCCCTTGCGTTCCGGGCACGGGACATTGCGGTAGACGCATCCCGGATCACCAGATTTCCAGCAGAAGTGAGTACATTGGGCACTACAACAATATCTGGATGTACAGGCTATGCTTCCATGCATTTTAAGGCTTTAAGCTGAACACCAGGGAAACTGCTGAATACAAAGTTGAAATACATACAGTCATGTGAAGAAGAAAGTACGCCCTCTTTGAATATTGTGGTTTTAGGTATCAGGACATAATAAAAATCATCTGTTCCTTAGCAGGTCTTAAAATTAGGTAAATACAACCTCAGATGAACAACAACACATGACATATTACACGGTGTCATTATTTATTTCACAAACATAGAGCCAAAATGGAGAAGTTATGTGTGAAATACTAAGTACACCCTTACTGCTTCCATTGGAATTAAGAGGCTTAGCAGCAGCCAGGGGCTGATTAACCCTTGATTAACTGATCATCAGCAAGTGTGACCACCCCTATAAGGGCTAGTTCACACCAGCCACAGTGCGTTCTGGCCAGAACGCACTGTATCACATTGGGGATGGGAGGGGGCGTGGCGGTGCATTGAGCTCAATGGCACTGTAGCCACGCCCTCTGCCCGCCATGCGATCAGCCGCATAGGAACGCAAGGCACATCAATGCTTGCGGTCCGGTCTGGTCAGAAAAAAATACTGCAAGCACAATTTTTTCTGACTGGACCGGAATGCAGGCATTGATGTGCCACGTGTTCCAGAGCGGCTGATCGCATGGCTGCAGTGCTGTTCACTTTAATGCACTGCCACGCCCCCTGTGCCAGCCAAAATGCCATCCAGTGCGTTCCGGACAGAATCGGGCTGGGACGCACTGTCGCTGGTGTGAACTAGCCCTAAAAGCTGAGGTTTTAGCAGTTTGCTTGGCTGGAACATTCAGGTGTGTGTTAGCACAATACCAAGGAGGAAAAACATCAGCTATGATCTTACAGGCCCAGTTGTTGCTGCCCATCAATCTGGGAAAGGTTATAAGGCCATTTCCAAACAATCTGAAGTTGTAGCATCTGTCAGTGGCAGTCTGCATATAATCATGTATGGTACGATTACATGCCGTGTGGGATAGATGATTATCGCTGAACACAGGATAGGTGTGTCCAGGGACAGTCATCTATCCTGAAATAAAGGTTATCATACCACGTACAATTACATGTGCGCTGCCGATGACAGATGCGGCCGCTGTCACCCTGACCTTAACTTAAATGGGTACAGTGGCCGCATCTGAATGGGGACACCTGGGATTCGTGCACCAAAAATCCATGGGTTCTTGCAGCAGGAAACCCAGATCGCAGCAAAGTCCCCTTGTGAAGGGGCCTTGCCCTGAACAATGTAGATATTGTGCTATGTTGCTTCTGAAAAGTAGCAGTGCGCTTATTGGTATGTGAGTGTGTCTGGGCACTCCTGTGCCTACATAGCTACAGCCTCATAGCTGTATGTCTGTTGTGTGAGATTTAAGGCATTGCTGCCTCTGACTAATGGGCTCAGGAGATTTGGAGTGAATTTTGTTGGTGTCACTGTTGTGCTGCTTGCTGGAGAAGAAATCAGCTGCATGCATCTCCCTGCTTCTGCTTTATTCATTCTGTGAATCTGCGCTCCCTGCCCAACTCCCACCGCATTTTGAATTTTCCCCAACCAGTCATCAGATCACCATTCATAGGGGGCGCATCTTTGATATGAGGAAACAAAGCCAAGATGGTCACCACCACAAAGAGACACAATGCTGTATGTAAATTATCAGCGCTATATAAAATTCCTTTTTTAATAAAAAGGCATGGTAAGTCAGTAATGGAGAAATATCAGCCGCAGGATGCCTAAAGATAATACTGGTGACTAGTTATTTGCCTTTTTTTGGGCACAGCTTCGAGAGTTCAGCTCCTCTTTTAAATGTATAGAGAGCCTGAAGGCTGCGTCATGAGTTTTCTACAGAACCCAATCATGTATGTTACACCCCTGGTGATTTCTAATGCAATTAATCTTTGTTTTGTAGGTTGAGAAAGGTTCTAAGGAAGGCCCTGTGGTTTTCAACACTCTGAAACCGATCTTTCAGCACATCTTGACGACTATCCGAAAGTAGATGTGACAAGACCTGGGCAGCCCTGGAGCTCGCAGACCTGGCCTTGCAATTTGTTTAAATTCTGTGAGCCTCGTCATGCGCGTTTCCTGTGAGGTTTGTGTTTAAGTGTTGGCTACACAAAGGGCTTCAAATACAAAGAATGTAGAAACTTCGAGGTGACTTGATATTCAGCGAACTCTTTTGTAATTATTACTTGTCTCTAAAAAAAGCCTTGTTCACTGTGTTTTACAGCATTTCTTTCTATGTTTCCAAAGTCTGGTTTAATATTTGTAGTTAATATTTGTGGATGTTCTTGTTTAATTTATTATTATGCCTTGACTCGGGCATACTGCTGCCAGTCAGCAGAGCCAGTCCGGGTAATGCACTGTGAACTGTTTATTGTATTCAGTATGAAGGATTCTCAGCGGAGCAGGACTGGTTGAGCCTTGACAGGCCAGCTGTAGAATTCTGACAGCCATACCTTTATAATATTTATGGTACTTTATATAGGGGCGTTACAAAGAAAACATTTCAGTTGGGGATGTTTTTGTTTTTTTTAAATAAAAAAGTACGGGACCGAATTCTCTTACATGGCGTACTTAGGCCTTACATTGTTAACATTCTCTGTTTTACAGCACAGTCTATAAAATGAAGGGAAGAAGAAGTGGAGTTATTGTCCGTACCAACATAGTTGCCAAAATTGCCTGGAAAAATTGGGAAGACCCTTTCCTGCAGCAGGAAAATAGGGCAATTCAAGTGCCCTTTGCTACAACAAGTTATGTAGTTCCATCTGCTATTCGGGGCATGGGAGGCGGGGTACCATCCTGCAGAAGGGGGGACACTTATTAACGGGTATCTAAGCCTAAAAATAAAAATGTAAAAACATGCAACTTACTAACTATAGATACCATCCTAAGAGACCGTAGCATACAGGGGTACGGGTGCACTACTACTAGACCACACAGGGACTCTTATACACTGAGTGGCCAGATTATTATGACCACCTGACGTTTGTAGGCAAATTAGTTATAATTAGCTATTAGCTAGAGGGCCAGACCATTATAAATAGGGAAGCAGGTTGTTTACCACGACAGTAGAAGTGATTTTTTTCTGAAGATATGGGTAAACGATGCGATTTAACAGCCTTTGAACGTGGGATGATTGTTGGCGCTCGGAGCCATGGAGCGAGTATCAGCAAAACAGCAGAATTTGTTAAATGTTCAAGAGCAGCTGTTGTTAAAGTGTTTAAAGGCTAGAATGTCAGCCGGAAATCTGGGTCTGAACGTGCGAATTGTGGCCGTCAGCGACTAGTCAATGTTAGGGCAGAACGGAGAATGGCAAGACTGGTACAAGACAACAGAAGGGCAACAGTGCCGTGTCAGATTCCTCGCATCACCTTTCAACATCTCGTGGAGTCACGAGGCGGCCCAACAAAGTACTGATGGGGTGGTCATAATAATCTGGCCACTCAGTGTATACACGCACGCACAACACGCAATGTTTTTTGTATGTCTCTGATTAGAAATAAATAGATTTTTCTTTAAAAATTGACATTGTGGTTTGTCCCAGCCGACGATTAACCCTTGAACTGCCTTCATCTGCAAGACAGTTCGCATCCTTCTTGTTTTACCGTTGAACTTGAAGGACCTGTGTCTTTTTGCAATCTCAAATACTATGTACCGTATATACTCGAGTATAAGCCGTCCCGAATATAAGCCGAGGTACCTAATTTTACAAACAAAAAACTGGGAAAAAATATTGACTCGAGTATAAGCCGTCCCGAATATAAGCCGAGGTACCTAATTTTACAAACAAAAAACTGGGAAAAAATATTGACTCGAGTATAAGCCGTCCCGAATATAAGCCGAGGTACCTAATTTTACAAACAAAAAACTGGGAAAAAATATTGACTCGAGTATAAGCCGTCCCGAATATAAGCCGAGGTACCTAATTTTACAAACAAAAAACTGGGAAAAAATATTGACTCGAGTATAAGCCGTCCCGAATATAAGCCGAGGTACCTAATTTTACAAACAAAAAACTGGGAAAAAATATTGACTCGAGTATAAGCCGTCCCGAATATAAGCCGAGGTACCTAATTTTACAAACAAAAAACTGGGAAAAAATATTGACTCGAGTATAAGCCGTCCCGAATATAAGCCGAGGTACCTAATTTTACAAACAAAAAACTGGGAAAAAATATTGACTCGAGTATAAGCCGTCCCGAATATAAGCCGAGGTACCTAATTTTACAAACAAAAAACTGGGAAAAAATATTGACTCGAGTATAAGCCGTCCCGAATATAAGCCGAGGTACCTAATTTTACAAACAAAAAACTGGGAAAAAATATTGACTCGAGTATAAGCCGTCCCGAATATAAGCCGAGGTACCTAATTTTACAAACAAAAAACTGGGAAAAAATATTGACTCGAGTATAAGCCGAGGGGGCACTTTTCAGCACAAAAAATGGGCTGAAAAACTCGGCTTATACTCGAGTATATACGGTAAATAGTTCTTAGGCTCCCTTCAAATCTATGTGATGTTGGAACATGTTCATCACCGCATCACACAAGATTGTGTGTGACAATATTTGGTGCGCTGCGGTGCCATTACAGGCAATGCCCGGGTTTACGAACAAGATAGGGAATTGTTCTTAAGTTGAATTTGTATGTAAGTTGGAACAGGTACATTTTTAAGTGTAACTCCAGGCCCCAAAATGTTTTTGTTTGTTTTGGCTAGCATAGGGAAGGGTTTACCCCCTGCAAAGTTTGTTTTGCGGTGTGTGCCCCTGTTCAGAAGATTTCAGCTCGCTTTCTGTCCCTGTGACAATTGGATTGGAGACACCTTTTTCCCATGAAAACTCTTACAGGAGTGAATTTCCCTTCCTAGGGGTAGATTTCCTCTCATTTTCTGTTGTCTCAAGGACAGGAAGTGTGATTAAATCTTTTTAATGAGGATATAGACATCAGTAAAAACCTCACAATGACCCGGGAAGAAGAGGTGGGCACCCCTCGTCTGCACGTCTAACAAGAGCCAACTTCCTGTAATGTACGTACAGTACTACGAACCAGACCCAAAAAGGTGGGCACTCCTTGTCAGCACGAGCGCGGTGGCATTACAACTACCCTTGCTGTACAGTAATAGCCCCGTTTGTAAGTAGGAGTCGTATGTAAGTCGGATGTATGTAACTCGGGGACCTCCTGTATTTCTTAATGGCAACTTTTTACCATGCATTGTGGTGTGACATGATTTAAAAAAATGGATCATGCACTTCTATGGTGCGATTTAGATTGGGTAGCCAGTAAATGGATACTCTGCCCTTCCACTATTCCCGGTAACACGTGTAAAAACACGCTGCAATGCACGTGGTATGTCACATCGCACAGGTGTGAAATGTGGTGGCTGCATTAGTTTTCACTTTACAGGGTAAGAACATATTCAGCAAATACATATTGCAGAAATGCAGTGTGCTTGTTACTTCCTGTGAGCTGAATAGAAAGCATAAATAACCTTATTTTTAGTGCGTCAACGACTAGTTCCAACAATCCACCATGTAAGGGAGATAAACAATGGCAGACATGTGAAGTCCAGCCTGTGGGGCAACCATGGCTTCCTCTATAGATACACCACATCTACGGACTAGTAAGCTCTGATATATGACACATTTGTTTTTGGGTTTAGATACCCTTTTTAGTGCCCATTCACACCATATCCACATCATCTCTAGACCAGATTGTTTCCAGACCCAAAATGCATCCTAATTAGGGATGTCCCGATACCGATGCTAGCATCGGAATCGGGCCCGATACAGGGCATTTTGACAAGTACTTGTACTTGTCAAAATGCACCAAAGCGTGCACAATTTTTTTTTTTTCTTCTTACTTACCTCGCCAAGCGTCGCGTCACTGCTGCTCCAGTGGGCAGCGCTCCGAGCGGGGTCATCTGGCAGTCTACGGGTCCTAATTTAGACTGCAGTTCCAGACCAGAACTGCACTGGAACTGCGGGCAGGTTCACACCATTTTCTGGTCCTGATCTGGTCCAGAAAAAGGTGTGAACCTGCCCTTAACACTGTAACAACCTGAATCTATCTGATATTTTTATACTACACGGATACTGATGGATGAAAATTTCTATTTTGTTGCTCAGATTCCAGTTGTCATTTCTTCAGGATTGAGGGATCTGAGGATTGCTATGGGCAACACTGGAGGATTGATTGCTATGGCAACAATGTTTCTCATGGCACAACTTTTATAAACCGTTTGCAGATGGAATAGCTCTGCGAATATCCGCGCTTTAGATTTGCGGCACTATATGGCCCCTAGATGGAGCCGACAAGCATAGAAAATTTCTAAGCACAGAGCTGTTCGAACTGCGAACGTTTTATTGATACCAAAATCCAGTGTACCCATCGCACTCCTGACCGAATAATACCCTTAGAGCTGGGTGGGTGCCAAAGTGACTGCAGATGCCTCTGCAATCCAAGATAAGTATATGTATAAAATCACTCACACTTTTTATTTCAAGTCAAAAACAGTTTATTGACTCGTTTGCTATCACATCATATAGCGACGTTTCGGAACAACAGCGGTTCCTTCTTCAGGCAAGCAGAATGTGAATTGCCTGAAGAAGGAACCGCTGTTGTTGCGAAACGTCGCTATATGATGTGATAACAATCGACTCAATAAACCGTTTTTGACTTGAAATTAAAAAACAAAAGGAGTGCGAGTGACTTTATACATATACGTTTTATAGATACAGCCCTTAGTTTTTCTCCTAATAACTCAAAAATTCAGTTCCCCCTTTCTTTTTTTAAATTGCCCTTGCAATATGAAAGGGAGTTTCTACTGGCTGATTGTTTGGGGGGGAAACACAATCCTATTTACTAAAGATTGTCCAAATAATTGTATTTCATTTTGCTGCGCTGTACCTTTATTTTGCCGCTAAATTGAAATCCAGATTATACAAATTTAGAAACATTACATTACAATGTCCACCTAGTGAAGGGGCATTAGTCTCCCTGTTGTTCAGTGAGGCCACCCATTACATTCAAGGGCTCAGGAGGGATTGGGGCCAAGCTTGACTTTTTAAGAAAAAATCAATCTTTTCATATATCTTCAGCTGCCTACATCTCCGGATTAAATGCTTGTTTGACATGAATACTTAACTGAATATAATCTCTGCTTTTCATCTTTTTGCTATAGGTTCGGTTTCGATCATTAGGTTTGTGACAGGTTATTGTGAGCGTC